ACCACACCCCACACACACACAAAGAACCACACACAACACCCAACACACAACACCACACACACACACCACACACAAACCACAACAACCCACCCCCACACACACAAAATACCACATACACCACACCCCACACAACGCAGGCTTAAAATTAACTTAAGATAAACTTAAGCATGATATATTCAGTGGTAAAAATTACAGTAAACAAATTACAACATGAAGTACAAATGAGTTTTCAAATAAGAAACATTAAAGTTGTACAAATTTGTAGCATAACAATGTATAATATAAGCGAATCAGATCATAATTTTGTAGTGCAGAAACTAGGTCATATGGTCATTAGATGATTACTGTGCAATTCAAGAGAATGGGGTATTCTATTGGGTTAATGTAATTAAAAAACAGTTTGATAGGGTCACAGGATATACATTAATGAGATTTCAGTATTCAGTATTATTTAGTTGGGTTGAAGTAAGTGTTTTTAAGAAGTCATGAAATTGATAAACCACAGTAATTCTTTTATATCACAGGTAATGAAATCCAGATTTTTGGGCCTTTTATGTGAATTGAGTTTTTAAACATAGTGTGGAATGGACACGGGGGGAACATCAGAGTGATCTGTGGCCTTTTGTGTTATGGTCATGTGTTGCTGTTGAGGTTGGTAAGGAGAAGTTTGAGGGAGGGTTTTATATCAGAGTTTTAGTGCTCCATGTATGTCGTAAGGCACAATAAAATATAGATGTTTTGTACGGTGAGTAAGCTTAGTTTTTGAATATTGGTGGAGTGTCTGCCTGTAGTGGGAACTTATCATTCTGACTGCACCCTTGATTGTTGGGTAATTAATGGTCTGAGAATGATTTATTGTTTTGATGGAAGCCCATGCACAAATTCCATAGGTGAGATTAGGGGTAAATGAGTGAGGTGATATAAAGGCCAGGAGGCTGACTGTGAAACTAAGTACCGTATCTTCGAGAGTATACTGGCCTAACGGTCTGGGAGATTTTCTTGAAATTCAGTTGTACATGTGTTTGAAATTTGAGCCTATTATCAAGGTGGATTCCTAAGAATTTTCCCCTCCTGTAGGTTTTGTGATAGGGTGATCCGTTTACTATTATGTTAAGAGGAACATCTGTAGTTGTTTTCCCAAATTGAATGAAGTCAGGTTTTGTCAATATTGAGATAAGTTTGTTAAATCATCATTCAGGTAGATATTATCTTCTGTAATTCGGTATTTACAGTATATGGCTAGCACGAGCTGGCTTGGTGAGAGAAGACGTATGTAGTTTCATCTGCCAAAGTGTGAGTTAAGTAGTTGTGATGCATTTGGTAGGTCAGTTATGTAAATGAGAAAGAGAAGAGGGTCAAGGACACTTCCCTGTGGGACACCAACTGTAATTGGCTGTATGGAAGAGTTTGCTCCATTTGTGTACACATATTGGCTTCTGGTTTCTGAGGTAATGCTTTAGGTAGTTGTGGTAGTGCCTCTTATACCATAGTGTGATAATTTTATGCACAGCAAATCATGGTCAACTGTATCAAAAGCTTTATATAAATCAATGAAGATCCCCAGTGGGACTTCTTTTTCTTGAGTGCAGTGTATACATGTTCTAGCATGTGTATAATAGCATCATTCGTATTTTTATTAGGCCTGAACCCAAACTGACAGGGGTTGAGTATGTTGTGGGAGATGAGGTAGGAATAGATTCGCTTATGAATAAGTTTTTCTAAGATTTTAGAGAGAGGGTGTAAGTTGGATATTGGCCTATAGTTATTCAAGTCTGCTTAATCTCCTCCTTTATGTATCGGGGTGACCCTCGCTATTTTGAGAACTGTAGGGAAGGTAGAGGATTCAGTGGATTTGTTAGTGTTGCAATGATTGGTGACAACACTTGCACTTACAATAAAAATACCCAGATGTTGCACATGTCTTAACTTTCATATTGTCGGTATTTTATACCTTTCTTGCACAAGTTACAGAGGTAATGAACTCCAGGTAGATATGGTCACAATCATGACAATAAAATAAAATAATACTAGCGAAATAGCCTAAGAATTTGGGCGACTGGAATGATGTAATTGACCTAAAATGGGAGTCAAAGTCGGCAAAATCACTAATGCATAAATATCGCTGATGCATCAAAATTTGCTAGAGGATAATTTCGTAAATTTTCCATCAAATTTTGTACTTTTTTCTTTGTTACCTTCATAAAAAGGTTCTCTACCATTTCATAAGAAAAAATAAATTTTTTTGAAAATTCTTGGACCCTGGCTGTCACTGAGATTTGGCTTCTGGACCCTCAAAGAGTTAATTGAGCAAAGAAACAGCCCATTCAGCTATCAGAACTGTCCTATAAAGTGCACAAAAGTCAGGAATTTGGTCAATTTTACATAATTCAACAAATTGCAATTTAAAGACTGTCCAGAAAGTTTTACTCAATTTCTTGAATAATATAATATAGCTAAGAATGATTGGTCATGGTTTTAGACCATTACCTCAGTTGAAGCATACATAGTAAAAAGTACGTAAGATAAGAAACAGACCAAAATCATTTCTATTTCACTAGTACATCTTCTGATTTATCAGTTAATACCAAGAGACTGCCAGTAAAACAGTGATGTAGATCTATGTGAGAGACGGTGAAAGAGTTAAAGGAAAATACATTTTCAGATTTTGTTTAACAAAGTATCTATTCATTTTTAAAGAGAAAATTTTTCAGAGCAAGTACATTCCCTATTGCCGTAAATACCGCATCTCCATCATACAAGGCACACCTTCACATTAGGTACATCCTGATTTTAAAGTTTTTGTGGAAACTTTTAGTATATATTAGCATATATTCAACTGCTCCCACAGTAACCTTTATACTTAAGACATTGAATTTGTCATTATTGCTGTAAGTACTGTACACTCCATTGCTGCACTCTCATGCAAGCATCATGGAAGTATACCTGGAGAGGGTTTCAGGGTCAAACACCCTGGGCGGCTTCGGTCCAAGCCCGGGCCTTGTGGTGGATCAGAGTCTGATCAAGCTGTTACTGCTAGGCGCATGCATACTGACGTATGAACCACAGCCTGGCTGGTCAGGTACTGACTTTAGGTGCCTGTTCAGCTCCTCCTTGAAGACAGCCAGGGATCTATTGGTAATCTCCCTTATGTATGCTGGGAGGCAGTTGAACAGTCTTGGGGCCCCTGACACTTATTGTGGTTGTCCTCTCAGTGTACAAGTGGTGCCCCCTGCTTTTTCCATTCTGGGTGAAATGCTGCCATCCTCCGCCAGGATCTTTTGTTTTAATAGGGAAGTGATTTTTCATGTGGAAGTATGGTACTAATCCCTTTAAGGATTTTCCCCAAGTGTAATTATCCATGCATCTCTCTCACCTGCATTCCAGGGAATACAAATTAAGGGACTTAAACCATACCCAAGTAAAAATTTTTTTTTTTTAGTTGGGGGCCCTGCATTAGTGTTCAGCAGTATCCCCTTAGAGAGAAGTGATTTGAAGGAGGATCATCATGGCTTGGCATCCTAGTTTTGAAGGTTCTCATTATCCATCCTGTCATTTTCCTAGCAATGTGGTAGATACATTGTTGGGTCTTTGGAAGGTAGGATCCTGGTTGACATTATCACTCCCATGTCTTCACATTATACTTTTTTTGGCTCCATTGTATGGTTAGAATTAGTTGTATACCCTGATACAGTTTTTAATTTCCTCAAGTTTTTCCTATCTGAGTAGTTGAAATATTTCTCTTCTTGAACTCATATAAGTTTTGAGTGGCCCATTTGAAGATTTGGTTAATCCTCTTGGAATCTTAGTGTCTTCGATGGAGGACACTGTTTTATGGCAATTCCAGGTACCATCTGCAAAGGAAGACACGGAGCTATGGCTTATATCTCTGTCTTCAGATACAATGAGGAATAGAGGAAGCGAGTACATGCCCTTGTAGAACAGACCTTTTCAACGTGTAAGCTTTCCTCGGACTTTACTCTGTTTTTTACCAATTACTCTTTGTGGTTCATTTTGTCAGAAGTTATAGATCCATCTACCAACTTTTTCCTGTTATTCTTATATATCACCCATTTTGTGCATATCAACGCCGTTGTCACATCCAGGACCTTGTCATAGTGGTTCAGTAGCTGCTGGACGGCAGGATCGACCTGCTTTAAACCTGTGTTGCCCTGGGTTGTGTAATTGATGGGTATCTAGGGGGTTGGAGATCTTGCTTCTTAGAGAACCCTTTCAAAGATTTTTAATGGGATGTTAGTGCATCGGTCTGTAGTTCTTTCTCGAAATGCTTTACTGCCGACCTTTGTGGGAGTGAGCTATGTCTGTTGTTGTTTAGTGAGTGGGACGACCCCTGTGTCCAATTGCGCTCATCCATAGAATGCTGAAGGCACATGAAGGGCTTCTGCAGTTCTTATGAACACAGAGTTCCATGAAGTCTGGGCCTGGGCAGGGTGCATGGGCATTTCGGAAATTGTATTAATCTCTGAAAGTTATTTTTCTCAGAGCTTATGACCTGAATTAAAACTACATTACATGAAGTAAACACAATATTCTGATGACAGTTTCTCATTAGAATATTGATTTATAGGATTTTATTTAAAAAAGCATGACTTCTAGACATTGACACTTTTCCCTATATAATGGCTATTAGCTTTTCTAATGAGATACTGTATGTATAGTACATGCTATGTTGTGCATTTGGCTATATTAACTAATTTGATTGAAGTAGCTTTAAACTTCATTAACCCCTAACTTGTAACATTTTTATTATGAAATTTTCAAAGTATTACTGTGTCAGTGGGATAATTTTGAGAAAATTCTATAGAAGTATTGCTACATGTACATCATTAAAATTAATTTAAATGATGTCTCGTTACCTCTATCTTTCTATTGATCCTAGAACTAATAAAGTTTGGATTTACATATTAATGATTACTAAATGTAAATATAGTATGAAATAATTGCTCTAGCTAACATTAACAAGGCTGGTAATGGTATCTCAGGCACTGGAGTCTCGCCTTGCCTCGTGTCGTACACTCGTGAAGGACAACCAACGCCCCCTCAGCCTGCCTCCACCCGGCAACCACTCTGCCAGGTAACACACTAACGCCCGTAAATAAAAACTGGCACGCATTGCTGGTAACCAGTTAATGGGGCATTTGTTCTTGCATGAAAAGTTAATTAGGGTCTCACAGAAGAGTACCTAATGATTTTTCGTAATGGCATGTTTCATGATTAATATATCAAATAATGTTTCTCTTACTCGGCCAGATACAACTCTGCTTTTTTACTAAATATTATGGGATACTGTATCACAAGTCATTGCCGAAGAATGGGAAGAGAAAGAAGTTGAATAAAAATGTTTTTGACAATATATTTTTCTTATTTTTCTCATTTGATTTAGTTTGTACATTTCATAAGATTGTTGCACCCAGTGGAAAATCTAATAATTGCATGGCTCTAATGTATGTGTTAGTATAGGCAACATTTTAAACAAAATTTGACTGGCATTTGTATGTTATTTTACTTTGTTTGTGCTTGTTTGTAACTCATGTTTCTGCCTTACTGCTTTACATAGACAAACCTTCTTGACTTAGGTCAATTTCTGCATTAATTTTCACTGGCTTTTCATTTTTAGCATGGTTTAATATATAACTAATAGTTTCCTCAGTCATTTGTTTGTTCATTTTTATGCCTCTTTTGTGAACAGGTTCTCAAACCCTAGAAATGCATAAAACTAGTTTTAGGCTCTACCACTTTCTTGCCCTTCCACCCTTCATTTTCTATTAAATGCTTATGTTTCTAGGCTGTTAAGGGGCCTGAGCCCATGAGCAACAACCATTCTCAAAGTTATTCCCATCAGTTAAGTAGCTCTTGACAGAACACACGATCATGCAGTCATGTGATGGTCCTGAACTATGTTCTCCAGGTTATTAGTCTCCACTGGTTAATCCAAAGTTTTGAACTTGAATAAACATATTCATCAAATTATCATAAATGATATAGGAACCTCCATAAGATATATCCTCATGCCCCCTTAGAGTCCCTATCAACATTCCACTTTCAGACAGGATCTGATGAAGGCTGTCATACACTTTGAGTGTTAATAGGAAGAAATCCTTCCTATTTGAAGACCAAATAATCAGTTGGCAATGAAATTTCCATTGGCAAGATTAAGGCTCTTACTAGCTTCATAAAAATATCAAAGGGCTTAACCTGCCTGAAAAACAAGTGGACTCGCCCTTTAATACCAGCAAGTTAACATAGGAACTTTGTAATTCTTAATATAACGGTTTACTGCAAATGATTCATGAACCCTTTTGTTTTAATATTGGTTAGACAGCAGACTGATTAACCCTTAAATGGTCCAAACGTATATATACGTTTTTTCAACATCTGAAAGTATGTAAAAAAATGTAGATCTTTTTTTTTTCGTTTTACATGTGAAAATGTGTAAAAAAAACTTTTATCTACTTTTTTTTTATATGTATTTGAAAATATGTAAAAAAAAAAAGTAGATCTACTTTTGTAGCATTACGAATTTGAACGTCGACCTGTTTGGACCGTTTAAGGGTTAACATTGGGGGAGGGGGAATAAAGCACATTAAGAATAAGTCTCGAGTATAGCTAAAAGTTTTATAGGCAGAGTTTCCGTGGAAGTGGGAGAAGTTGAATACAGCTCAGTAAGTTCCCCTCGTATACATTTGTTTCTAGAGTGGTTAAGTCTTCTCACAGACTCTGCCCTCATTCCCACAATTAGGAGCCAAGATGCAAGCCTTTTGGTTTATTTTATACTAGCATGTTTTCAGAGTGAAAGAAGTATGGTACTATTCTTGAATTAAATTTGTAGGCAATTTAATGATGAGGCTGGTTTGATGTGCCTAATAAATAATATAATTAGGATTCTATGAAATCAGGACTCAGATTTACCTTCATTAGCAAGCTCAGTTGCATTTGTAAACTAATGAGTCAGCATTCCTATCTGGTTTGTTAGTACAGCATCTGAATACATTGGAACTAAGTTACAAAAAGGCTTAATTCTTTCCTTAAGCTATACCAGCTAGGGAGATTCCAAATCATAGAATACCATAATTTTCTGTGTCAATATCCATAGATTTTTGTAAGAGGCACAAGAATCCTTCTTAAAAAAACTTGCATTTACTCATGCAGATGGCACTGTCTTACACACTAAAACCAAAGAAAGAATTTAATTTCTTTGAAAATTTTGACTTGGAACACAAAAGAAGGGTCTTTTCTGTTTTGGCACATCAGATCTGTTCTTGGAAAACTCATGAGCTGCTTAAGCTGGGCCCCCGTAAGACAAAATTCCTTTCCATGATACATAAGAGGGTGACTGGGGAGGCATTTTACATTTTAGACAGCTTCAGACTTTCTTCTTTCTCTTGCCATATGTCAAAAGTCAAACTTTATTCTTCATAGGTAAATTTCCCCATTATTATTTCTTCCATCCTCCCTCCCTAAGTCATGGTCTCGGATCCTGAGAAACTTCAGTTGTTACCAGTAGTTCTGGAACTCGTTCAGAATAGGAGTGGGGGGGGGGGAAGTGATACATCCAAGGTTTACCATGCGTGTTTCCTGGCATGCAAGAGAAAAATCATGCTTAATTCTGGACTTGATATAACTACAATACATGATCTTCCAAGTTCAAGATGGAAACTTGTTTCTAGGGCTCTCTTTGTTACTTTATTAATCCTGGCCTACTTCCATAGTTCAGCGTTATTTCAACATGTGATCATTCACAGCCCTTCCACAGAAACGCTGGCTCTTGGTCTTCAGTCAACTCGTTGAATTTTCACCTAAATCTGTTGCCTTAGCAATGATTTCGGTGAAGGCTCCTCTTTATTTCATCACACTGAAGGGTTGAGCCCAGAAAATCATTAGACATCCATACCTTGGAATTTTTACCCTCTACAAATTTCCTGGTATTAAATATTGATTCACCATTTTGATGAGCTTCCTTGAATATCTCCAGTCAAACCATTGACAGTAGTTGCAACCACTGAAGGAAGTAAAGGCACACATTTTCAGTTTATGCACTTCTTTACATCATCACCCCATAGTCCTGTTTATCCTTAGTTTCTGACCTTGTGGAGCATGACCAAAGAGGAGATGCATTAAAGACATACTGGCAAGCATCTTTCAGACACTCAAAGTACAAGGATCCATTTAGGGTCTTGGCACAGTTAGCTGCAGTGTTCCGCATCATTATGTTGAGTTTTAAGAGCTACTGACAGCTTATGCCGTATCGAGCCCTGCTTCCCTATGTGTATGGGAAAGAAATGTTGCCCAAAGTTAGGCAATGAAAGAAAAGAGAACACAAGTTTCCTTTCCAAAAAGAAACAGGAAGAAAGGTTCCCAATTAGGTCAAGTAGACCTCCCTATGCCAAAGCCCCAGCAGAGCAGGACACCTATCCCCCACCCGAGTTCAATAACTGGCTTCCCACCAAAATGAGTAAATATTTGCAGTACAGAAAAGTAAAGCTGATGAATGATGCCCATCTTTTAAAGTGCCCAGCAGGCAGAATAGGACAACAACATGCATCACAGAAAGAATGGGAAAACTTATCAATGATGCCCAGGCAAAAGCCAGATGCCCTCACACTACCAAGGCTGGCACAAAAATGTACAGGGAATAAGTGTTGTTCAAAGCTGGGCAATGAAATACTAAGGAACAGGAGCACCCTTTGCAAATAGAAAAATGAACAAGTTCCCAATTAAATTAGGTTGACTCCTTGCCTAAGCCCAGCAGAGAAGAACACCTCCACCCTCACCTGAGTGAAGTAGCTGGCCTTCCACCATAACCAGGAAGTATCTGCAGAATGGAAAAAAAATGGAGCTGATGTGCCCGGTGAGCAGAATAAGATAACAGCTGTCCCAGGAAGAATGGGGAAAATTTGTCACTGTTATTCAGGCGAGAGCGAGACATTCACACACCAGGGCTGGCACAGAAGTCCCTAATGTTCTGCATTTGATGCATAGTAGTAGTTCACTATGGAACTCAAGTTTAACTTCAGAGAAGGTGTGCTAGGTACCTGAACATCATCAGAACCTCTGTCAGTTACCATAAGGAAGAGAGTTATTTGCACAAGACAATCTCTCAGCTCGTGGTTGTTTCTAAAAAAAAAAAAAAAAAAAAAAAAAACACTTTTCATCGAGCATTATGTATTATACAGGTTGTACTGGCATGCTAGAAGAACCACTCTGTCATTGGTTATTTTAGTACAGACTACTGTTAAAAGAATAGTATGGAAGCATTAAATTTTAAGATGTTCTTGACCAACAAGAGATTCCTGAGTAGTCATTAGAAGTGATACTGGATTAAAGTCCAGCCGTGCAGTTTTCTTGCAAGGCTGGTCATCACATTTGGTGCATTAGTAATAACTTGTGTTTGTGAGAGAACATTAGGACAAGTAAAATTCCACACACAAGTGTCAAGTATCACACTCATTCCAAGTTGATAAAATTACCAACAAAACATTTGGTAAAAGGACACAAGCAATAAATGAGAGATTTGCTGCATCTCTCTCCAGGAGCTTTAACAAGTGTCTTATTAGTTGCTCTAGAGTCTGTTTATTTAACATAATAAATACTAATATTACTGTATATACAGGTGAGTATAAAGATAACAGTGTTACCAGTCAGTGCCTAGCTATACCTTGGAGAGTGGAAAACTAATTTCTGTGTAGGGTTAAATAGGCCATGACTATCACCACTCTTAGCTGTTATGACCTGACCTGAGTTATTTTTAATGCTGCTCTTGGTCAGACTTTTTTTTTTTTCTTCATAGAAAACATGCATTCAGTATAAAATTAATTGTGAAAAGGGCTAACAGAGCTAGAAAGATATAGGTATAGCTGCTGCTGCTTCACATTATTTTATTAAGCAAATATGATTAATAAGTACAGTTCTATTGTAATTTTACTGCTTATTTGTTTAGGCTATATGTAGTAGTACACTGCTTATTTTTTATATTGCTGGTCATAAAATGTGGTTATGTATGCTGTACTTCCAGCTTATTGATCCATGCTTAGAAACTCATTTCCTAATTTTGTTTTTTACATAATATTCGAGTCC